ATACATTCGTTAGGTGCACAAAGACTATTTTGCGAGAATTTTATTTGTTTCTATGTGCCCGCCTGGGAGTTTGGCAATAAGATACAGATGAAATAGATAAGTTAACAAACAAAATACAGTCTGTTACGTGCCCCGCTAGAGATAACCACAGGACATTTATGGGAGTGGTACTAATCCAGGTAAGTCAATAATTGGATGAAAGAATGGAAGACTATGTGAATGAATAATTTATTTTCATTTTCTAGAGCTGACATTTAGTACTCTACAGTCCTCCTTGTGGGTAATCAGCCTGATAATTTTGTGTTGCAACTACAGTGACTCTCCTAATTTCTTCTTCGCCACATTCACTAATAACACAGTGGATATCATTCTAATGAATTCTGTACACCTGCTTTCTCAGGTACATCATCATGGCTTTAACCACTACGTGGACTGAGCTCTCAAATTGTGACATTAAAAATATTAATTTGGGAGTTTTAAAAATGTTTAAGCATAAGATTAATCTACTATTTTATTATTAAAGACAGGTAAAATATATTTAATGCTTCTTTGATCAATGTTTCATCTTTGTGCACAACACATTATTATTTTACTTCCCTTGGTTTTGTACTTACGATTTGAAAGAACCTAATTTCTAGAGTCGTTTGCAAAAAGAACCTCAGTGGGCTTTTGTTGTTTTATAGCTTTTTAAAAATGTTTTTATTTTTATGGGACTTTTTCTTTTACAACCTTTTCATAAAATATTATTTTCCCTACTTTGCCTCCTTTATTTTGTCTTTTAGTCACAAACATTAAGGAGGCTTCTTGACCCTGTATTTGACCTCATGCTCTAGTACAGTGGTTCTCAACCTTCTGGCCCTTTAAATACAGTTCCTCATGTTGTGACCCAACCATAAAATTATTTTCGTTGCTACTTCATAACTGTAATGTTGCTACTGTTATGAATCGTAATGTAAATATCTGATATGCAGGATGGTCTTAGGCGACCCCTGTGAAAGGTCATTCGACCGCCAAAGGGGTCGCGACCCACAGGTTGAGAACCGCTGCTCTAGTAGATGTTTTAAACTAGGTCCACACAGTGTAACTATTTGATTCACTTCAAACCAAACCTTGTCACTCAGGATCACTATGCTATAAAATGTCAGACAACATTTAGGTTGGACGTCATGCCTTTCTTAATATCCTTCAGCAGAAGTTTAGTAGGGACTACCCAACAAAAGTATCATATGGCAAACAGTAAAATGTGACCTTCTGGTGAGGTTGAAATGGTTTTCTTTTCTTTTCTTTTTTTCTGTTGCCATTTAATGTTAGATCCCCATGAGCTCAAACTCATATAACAAAAGACATCATCATCTTTTATTTGTCTGATTCAGTCATTCTACAAATGTTCATTGAACACCTATGCTATGTGCCAGGGCTTTTTTTCCAGGTTCTAGGGAATAGGAACAAATAAACATAATTAATATCTTAGGAGAACAAAATTAAAGAGAGGGAATCAGGAATGACCAGGGTAGGGAAGTGTAATTTATACAGGATGTCCTGAGAAAGCCTCTAACAAGATGCATTTGGGAGGGACCTCACTGAAGCAAGAGAGTAAGAGAGAGAGCCTTGCACAGCATTTCGGGAAGCCTTCCGGGAAGAGGTGGCAGCAAGTGCTGGGCCCTGAGGCTGCCCACGTTCCAGGAACAGAAAAGCTAGTGTGGCTAGAGTAGAGCCGGCACCACAGAGCAATGGGAAGTGAGATTAGGGAGGATGTAAGTGGTGACATCATGTAGCATTTGTCAACCATGGTAATGCTTCTTTACATTTTACTCTGAGTGAAATGAGAAGTTATTGGAGGGACCTGAGCCAAGGAGTGACTCGCGATCTGATACATATTTTAAAATATTACTTTACCTACTTGTTGCATTAGTTTTCCTACATGGCACAACAAATTAGTACAACTTTAATGGCTTAAAACAACATGTATTTGTTATCTCACGGTTTCCATGGGTCTAGAGCCGCGGTTCTCAACCTGTGGGTCGCGAACAATGAAAATACATCCTGCATATCAGATATTTACATTACGATTCATAACAGTAGCAACATTACAGTTATGAAGTAGCAACGGAAATAATTTTATGGTTGGGGGTCACCACAACATGAGGAACTGTATGTATTAAAGGGTATGTATTAGGAAGGTTGAGAACCACTGATCTAGAGTCAAAGAGGAGGAACCATTTAGCTGAATTCTCTGCTCATAAATCTAAAAACAAGATGCCCTTTGCAGGGCACAGTCCTGTTTCTAGCTCGCTCATGCTAGTTGTTGGCTGAATTCACTTCCTTGTCGTTGCAAGATTGAGATCCAGGTCCCCAATTTTTGTTTGTTTGTTGTTGCCATCCTAATCATTTTCCTACTGTGGTAAGAATTTCATAATATAAAAGTTACCCTCTTAACCATTTGTTAAGTGTACACAGTTCATTAGTGTTAAGTTTACTTACATTATTGTGAAACATCTTTTAAAAACATTTTTATCTTGCAGATTTTAAACTCTATACCCATGAAATAATTTCCCTTTATCCCTCCTCCCATTTCCTGCTAATCACCATTCTGCTTCCTATCTGTGTGAGTTTGACAACTGTATGTGCTGCAAATAAGTGGAATCATGCAGTATTTGCCTTATTGGTACTGGCTTGTTTGTTTTGGCTGGCTACCTGCCTGAGGCCACTCTTAGTACCTAGACATATAGGGTGTGGGAATTTCGGGGGCCATTTTATAATCCTGACAACTATGTAATTGGGAAACAGAACTGTGGGAGGGATAGGAGAAGAAGCTGAGGATCAGATAGAAGGCACTGGAGATGTCTACCCATTGTTTCTCAAAATTTAATATGTGTATGAATCTCCTGGGGTTTGTGTTAAAATTAGCTTCTGACCTAGTAATGCTACGACCTGCCTCTCTTAACAATCTCCTAGTGATGGCAATGCTGCTTGTGGAAGACAAAGACATAGACTAATGATGACAGTGGGCTGGGCTGGGCTAGGTTGGTAACAGTGGAGATGAGAAATGGTCTGGTTAGAGATATGATTTGAAGGTAGACCCAAGGGGGTTGCTGAGGAGGAAAGAGGCATCAGGCTGACTTCTAAGTTTAAGGGACCACAAAGATTACAGTTGGAGCTGGTTTCAGTTGCTCAGTTTGGATAAACCAAATAGGAAGCCAAAGAGAGATGATCACGAAATGCTATGGGAAATAGCAGGTTTATAAATCATATGC